CAGGCCGAGTACGCCCGAGTGCGCCCCAGTACGCCCGAGTACGCCCGAGTACGCCCGAGTACGCCCGAGTACGCCCGAGTACGTCCGAGTACGCCCGAGTACGCCGGAGTACGCCCGAGTACGCCCGAGTACGCCCGAGTACGCCCGAGTACGCCCGAGTACGCCCGAGTACGTCCGAGTACGCCCGAGTGCGCCCGAGTACGCCCGAGTACGCCCGAGTACGCCCGAGTACGTCCGAGTATGCCCGAGTACGCCCGAGTACGCCTGAGTCATGCCCGGTCATACCCGGTCATACCCGGTCATACCCGGTCATACCCGGTCATACCCGGTCATACCCGGGCATACCCGGTCATACCCGGGCATACCCGGTCATACCCGGTCATACCCGGTCATACCCGGTCATACCCGGGCATACCCGGTCATACCCGGTCATACCCGGTCATACCCGGTCATACCCGGTCATACCCGGTCATACCCGGGCATACCCGGTCATACCCGGTCATACCCGGTCATACCGTCCCGTGGTTTTCCGCAGTCGCGGTTTCCCGTCACAGTGAAGAAACACCCACAGGTTCTGGTCGGCCCATCACTGGGTAATGTTAGCAGCGAAAAGCATGCAGTTTGTTCCTGCAATACCCAACAGCAGCCCTGTTCAGCCAGGGCTCGCAGCATGAGACGGCTTGTGAAACGCAGTAACAAAAAGCACACCGTCGGACTTGAAGAACTGGTCTTTGGGAAACTGAGAAACGAAGGGGCGGGGAGTGCATCAGTAGACATCAGCAGGGGCATGGAGCTCAAGACCGATTACAAGCTCACAACGCAATTGCATCAACATGCCTGTATACAAAGTCTTGAAACCTGGCACATCACCCAAACGACTGCTTGCATCCGCATCACGGCATCATCATGGGCATGTCGAAACTGCCACCACATGATGCTGCAGTAGCGAAGAGAACCCTGACGGTGGGCGTCATACAGTTCAACCTCAGCGGCTCTTTCATACTACAGTACCATGGACAAGTGTCAACCATGATCAGTCATCCAAGCAGGACCTGTACTTGGCCATCGGCCTGGACCTGAAGCTTTTGGTTACCACAAAGCGTGCGGCTGCATTGTACCGGAGGCGCAACCGCGTTATTACGTGTTAAATGATGTTGAGGACAGTTTTGGGGTTCGGAACTCAAAGAGGCTTTTGCAACGCTAGTTTCGGGATCCTGCACATTGCGGTAGCTCCACAGTTGCCGGTGGGGGAAGCTTCCATGTTGTTTGCGCACGTATCAAATGTTGGTCGAGGTGGGGCGAGATCGACGCGCTGCCTGCCCCTGCCTTGCAGCAGGAGTATGCAACCTTTGATTTGCCCAAAGTGGCAGAGATGCTTGGACTCTATAGCCGCCTGGGGATTTTTTTTATTTTCGTTGATATAAAACCCAAGAGGATATCAAACAGATTATTTTCTTAAGGTTCTAAGGAGAGTATAGGACTGATGTGTGGGCATCATGCCGAGGTGCCCAGCAAGAGGTCCAGAGGTCAGGGAACGTTTGTCTGGCCACGCTGAAACAACATAGCAACAAGACGGATGCCATGTCTTTCATTTTCATTCCTGAATGTGCCAACCGAGGAAAGAGCAAAGAACTCGAGTAAAGAAAGTTGCATACTGGGATGCGCTTCCGTTTGGTGCCCTGCGGGAGGAGCCCAAGACACTGGCTGAAGCGCTTAATGGCTTGAGGGATCTTAAAAGGCTTGGAACGGCAGGGTATGTTACCATGCCTAGTACCAAATCCAGCAGCCGCATGCGGTCACAGGAGTGTTGGAACATGGGAATGCGATCCGCGTACTTCAACTCTGCAGACTTCCATGGTCGGCGTGAGAGACTGATTCGCGAGGCCCCAACAGTGCAGGGTTTAGTGGAAAGGAAGAAGTAAGGGATCACGGCACCGGATTCCTTGAAATTCCAGTCGGGAAAACGCGCGTAAAACATGGTCTACGCACACACGCTTCCTAAACCACCATGCTCCCATCTTCGAGAGTAGACGCCCAAGATACTGATTGGGCGAACCGCCTATCTTTACAAACCTATGCGCACCACGGTTGAGCGGCTTCTGTGCTCATTGCATTTGCTCTTATGAACCAAGCAAATTGATAACTTTACTTGAACCTGTGCTATGTATCTGCCTGAGAGCTTTATGCAAAATTTCTTGAACAAAGTGAAACGAACAAACTGAACCACGAAAGACTGTCAAAACAAGCATGAATTTCAGGACTCTAGAGGAGCACTCGTCTTTCATGTCGCGAACCTACAGGTGAATCACATGAAGTTTGCGTGAGCTGGCATAAACAAGATGTCTACCGCTGCCTTGAGTTAGGGGTTGGCGCATGCAATTGGGAAGCTCTTCCCTCGACCGACCCTGAAGGTATGATCCGGAGCTTAAATCGCCTTGAATGCCCTGTGACAGGCTATTTGGTTTCAGTGGGCCCCCAAGACGGGCGGCCAGACGAAGATGCCTAGCGATGCGGGCGGATGGCGGCCACCTCCCAAAGAGCCCAAGGACACCCTGCCCTGAACCCAATAAACCCAGAACCCTAAACCCTGAACCCTGATCCCTAAACCCTAAACCCTAAACCCTAAACTAAAACGAGGGAACCAACATCCGGCGAATTGCGGAGGCTTTTGCAGGTCAGCACACCCGATGGGCCTCCAAGCTTCTGCTGCAGGACCCGCAGGGACGACCCAACTGTCCTTTCGACTACATGCCACCACCACCGGTGCAGCCGACGGCGTCTGGCATAAAATTGGCATTCAATTTCTCACGGTTAAGACATGATTTGGCTTCAATTGTAGAATCAATCGCTCCCTTGCCTCTGCTTCGGAAGCGCCGCAATCATGCGAGTATCCCGGAGGCATGCAACATGAAGCTGTTGCGAGGTTCCTATCCATGTGCGCCAACAGCTCCAGACTCTACTGTTGCCATCCAACGCTAGCTTGAGAGACGTCAAGGCCAGGTGACGCTTGATACGAGTGGTTTGGACATTCGTCTTGTCTTCTGTAATTAAAGATGGTCAAGTTGTTCAGATCACAATGCCAGCATACCTAGATTTCGATGACAGTCCAAACATCAAAGCCACTGTGACGTCACGAACCAGGGAAGGGCAGACAGGCTTGCACTGTGCCCCAGGCTGCGTACAAGAAGCTTGCTCTCAAATATCATCCAGACAAGATCCTTGGCCAGTTTCAGGTGTTCCAATGTGTTCAGCCTTCAGCTCATGTTCATGCGCTTTGGGATGTTGAGCTGGTGTCCGGCGGGCATGTCCTCAGCGCCCTAGTCACACGACAGCTGGCTTCGCGATCGTTCTCGCTAAGGCCTTTTAACAGTATGAGAATTTAATAGTTATTGGCTGAAGAGGGGGGATGGGGGGGAGAACCTCCCTTGATTACTCATGGTTTCCCTTCAAAACCCACAGTAAACCCCGGAAGAATTTGTTCAGGGTTTGTTACTGTTGCAACGAACGGAAGACTCTGGCATATATATATATATATGCATATATTCTTATAGTGTTTTCTGTATTTGTATATGTGTATTCGTTTATATATGTATCTAACACATATATGTATATGTATAAGTATACATATATATATATATATATATTTACATCTATGAGTAGGTACAACCCTTCTTCACCCTCGTTCCGACTTGCTGCAAAGGAACAGCAAGGACGTGGAGGATTTGGTGACACAGCGGTTCATGGAAATACGCGCAGCTTACGATGAGTTACTGACCTATTTCGATGAGCCCGGCTGAGAGGGAAAAGCGTCCTGGGTACTCTCGAAGTGGGCTTGGGAAAGGCAGCAACTGTACAGCACGCAAAGCGTAGGAAGCCTTATTTTGAAGGACTTGGAAGCCAGCTCGCTCGTCTTTCAGCTGGTAGAAGATGTCATCTGGACCTATCCTCGCCTCCGCCTTCCTCTAAGCGCACTAGCCGGGAGGGTGTTTAACCTTTCCGTTTGTGCCGACGCACGGCCCACCTTTGATGCATGCGGCCCGACTGGTGACCAGCAACATCTTTGGGATGTGCTAACGATTGCTAGAAGGACGTGAGCTCAAGGATTGTTCATGTCATGCATTCTCGCGAGCTAACAACTGCTCAAGAGCAACCTCCGCATAGCCAGACGTGGGACCCGGGACACGGCATGGTGTGTCCATGGATGCATGGCGATGGCAGTTGCACCGGCTCCTTCGTGCCGGCCGCCTACGCTCGTTCTACATAAGCAAGAGGGTCACCATGAAACCAGGACAAAACAGCAATCAAACCCAATCGGAAAGTGTGTTGTAGGAATTGTTGTGTTTGCTCCAGCGTCGCTCTCCGTCGGGCTGAAAGAAAAGGCATTGTTGGGTTCATCCTTTTGTCGGTAGAGCTCAGCCAGACATAAGCGGGCCTTTGGGGTCCGACGATGAGGCCTGAGAGAGAACACCTGCCGGACTTGCACAGCCAAAGTATGCATGAAAAGCGGGCTCGGCACAGCTTTGAAAACACTCAGGTTTCAAAATCCCGCATCTCGGCCTTGGGAAAGGCACGCGCTAGTTCCGGGAGTTTGGGGGATGATTTTTGAGCAGGCTGCATACAGTAGCAAGAGAAGCCTGGGCTCAGCATGTAGGAAGCAGACAATAACGTTAACTTAGTAGCATCGACATCGGCCGCGGTTCTACTGTAGGGAAGCAGGCTTCGTCAAAGCTGACAAGCGTTCAGGGGCTTGCAGGATCAAACGCCCGAATTCGAAACCTCGCGACAGGCGCAGAGGTGGCATGCCGCTTTGCATGTTTTGGAGCAGCTCAAGGCCTCCCAGTCTCGGTAAGCAATCGAATTTTGTGGAGACCTGGTGAGGTGGTGGTTGAGGAAGGACATGGAACCATTGCCAATGTGAGCCCTTGGCCTTCAGATAATCATTCAACACTCTAATGCAGGGCCGCACCAACCCTGGCGTCATCGGCGCCGCACTTGGCGCCATGCAGCGGGGGAGGGCATGGAGTCCTGGCCGCAGATACTCAGTAGCTTCCAAGGTATCAACAGACACACACTGTGCAGAATGTGACTTGATGTCGGGCAGGCTGGTGATTGCTCTTGTGCATGCTCGTGGCTTTCCCTGTTGTTGTACATGGTAAGGACTCTCTGTGCGCACAGCAAGAATCAGTGTCCGACATCATCCCCAGGTATCCACTTCTTGAGCATTCTTAGAGCAAAGCTGCTTTCAACAGACCTTTGTTGGCGTTGTTAGATGGTCGCGGGTTGTAGAGTAGTGGGATGGCGTCTGCACTCTTGGACTTCCACTTGGGCCTCAACTTGGGTCTACGTAAACATAGCCTGTAATGATGATGATGATGATGATGATGATAGGCATGTAAGCAGCACCTTGGTTGTTTCTGCTACCTTGCTTCTGCCCGCCCAGGCGCCACGCTCTGTCACTATGCCTGGATGCCCACAGGCTGGGATGCTGGTGCTTCACTCTTAGCACTTGCATTGTTACTCTTTGCGTGGCAAATTGGGCATGTTTATGCACTTTTCAGAAGCAGGCGCTATGCCCTTCATATCGAACGCGGCCAGATTTTTTCTAGAGCCTCGGGCTTTCTGAAGGGTCGAGCACTCTAGGTGCCGAGTTGCGGATGCTGCCGCCTTTGGATCGTTGGCCATGACTCTGGCACCTGGGCTGAAGGTGTTCATGCCTAGCCGTGCGGCCAAACTCGCTGTTTGGCTCGCCACATGGAACTTAGAATCACAGGCTGCTGAGGTGACACGCAGCCAGTGCTGCAAGCTTTCAGTTAGCCTTCTTGTACCTAGCAACCTTCATACACAGCATGAGAGCGGATGCAGGGATCGGCTGCGCACTGCCGTCGCTGAATGAACGTCGGCGCGCTCTTGCACGCCTTGTTGAGCTGCATATGCCAAAGAAGGCACAATGCCACGACTGCAGAGAGACATCATTTGAACTCCAGGAACAGAGCAGCCACTGGAGCCACTCAACCCAGCTCTTGGCCACCATCGCGTCACAGCACTTGGTTCGAGATCTTTGGATGCAAGCTCAACTTGACAGCTCTTTTTTTCGACTGCAACCCATGCTACAGTCTGTATGATGCGGTGTGCTCTAGCGTTTTTTTCGCAGGTTCGTTGAAGTAGATCTCAAGCGGTTTGGGCTTATGCTGCAAGACGTGGGGCTTCTTGCCATCTTGCGATGGTGACGTCAAATCAGACTGATGATCCTGTCTTGGCTGCGCCCTAAGGTTCTTAGCCTTCAAAGCACTCGGGCTCCGATTTGTCCAAAAACTAACGCCTTCACTAGCTGCAAAGCTTGATCGAGCGCGGCGAATCTTTCAACAAGACTGGTCAAAGACCAAACCAGTCCGAGTTCCAAGCCACAATTTCGTGAACATCGGCCTACGAAAGAGCAACGGCCACACTTGGGCATCGATATGAGCCCCGTCGCAGGCCACCAATGCTGCCATGGCGGCCTGCATAGGTGGACGCTGGCTGCGAGCGAGGTGCGCGAGAGCGAATACAAGATTTGGGTCTCAAGTGTGATTATTGGGGAGGTTGAGTCTAGGGGTTTAGACACAAGTCAGGGCCAAAATGACCTCACAAGTTAATGTTCTTGTGTAATTATGTCATTCTCTGCGTGTCTGAAAGCATCGGGCTGCGGGGCAGAGCGAGGCCTCTCGGACATTGGGCTTTCCGACCGAATTTTTAGGGGGACCTTATTGGGGTCCTTATTCGAAGGGAATCCTACTATTCGGGGATTTTTAGGAGTCCCTCATTTTCGTGAACCCCCACATGGACATGCACCTGGCCATGCCCAGCCTGCCTGTCATGGTAACACAAGTTTCCGAACATAGGGGCGCCCGTTTTGGGGCGTCCCCTTGAGGGGATTCTGTTCTATTTGGGGTATAAAAGGGGTACCCCTATTTGGGGAGATACCCAACTTCAGCCCCAGCACCTCAAGCTACTGTCGTGGCCATGCATGGATCAGGTCCTTGCTCTCTGCCTTGGAGTCGCGGGAAGCTGCGCCGGACTGGGTCGATGCGGGCATCATGCATGCCTTTTGCAGGTTCGGGTTGCATATGGTCCCCTATGAGTTCTAGATTCCCCCAAACACTACACCGGCAGTTCGAGTGGGAATCCCTGACATGCACTCAGCAACCTATACTTGATGCCCGCCCATTAGCTGGAAAGTTTTCCGACAAAGGGAGATCTTAACAGCGACTCGAACAAAAAAACTCTATGGAAATGGGCCCATCCGACGTGATTTTGCACCTGGCGACATTGCGAAATCTCAATTCAAAGTCCCCCCTCCTTTCGCTCCTTCGACCCCTTCGACGTGTCAGTCTCTGAGAGTCTTCTCCCGCCTTTCATGATGTTCACGAAATCCATCAATCTTCCGGCCTCGCAAAGAACGACAGTGCATGTTTCGAGCCCTTGCTGGAGCTCAGAGGTGTCACCTATAGGACCTACACTGGACCTACACCTTCCGCTCATGGCCTCGCACTTTGTCTTGAGGATCTGAATCCAACTTGGACAGGACATCGTCACGTACAACACCCTGATCAGCTGTTGCACTGGCTCCCAGCGACTCGCCTGAACATTGGGGCATTGCAGTTCAGAATGCGCAAGAGCATTCTTGAAGACCTAAACCCTAAACCCTAAAACTCTAAACAGCCACAGCCACTTGGTCTTAGAGTCATCGGCTCAGGTGGCCATGGGCCCTTTGGTATCTCCATGTGCTGACGATGCAGAGCAGCTTGCAGCCAACAGAGGCGCCCAACTCCTCTGAACCGTAGAATGCCGTGCTTGCTGACTTGTGTTGCGTCTGGCTTGGGAAGCATTTTTGGGGACGTTCTGGATCGTTCGGGGGGCTTTTTGACAACCCTTGGCCCCTGACCGCCAGAAGTACCCAGAACAGAACCAAGCTACTAGGGTCTCTTGTCAGAGGTCACTTTTGCTGGTGCAGTCCACGCAAGTGCCACAGGCCTGACCGGGGTCCAAAATGCGTTTGGCTGATGTGGATGGCTGGGGTGCTGCTAAATGGGTGTGGCTGAGGTCACACTCTGTTGCCTTTGATATGCAATCATTTGGGCTGCAGAGCGAGGACAAGCGCACAGCTGAGAGCCAGCAAGAGCACAGCATGATCGGTGCATCCTATTACTTGCAACCAGGTACTCAATGGTGCCTGGCACTGTCACTTTTGGGGGGACTTGCGAAACGCTCTTTGCAGCGTGGCGCCGAGAAAGCAGGAGCTAGGCCCAGCAAAGCTCAGTCACTGTCCTACAGCCATACTTGGAGGTTCATGGGCAGCTATAAGTAGGGTCAATAAGTCAGTATCCTAAATAGGTTCACAAGTATAGTTACCATACTCATGACCTTACTGATAGCTACCCACGAGCCTCCAAGTATATGGCCATGACACCCGTGGCATCCCTTTCTTGAAAGGTTCTCGTGCAAATTCCCAGGCATGGTTTCCCAAAATGCACGTTGGGGCAATGAAGTATCCGAGGCCAACGACCGCGATCTTCGGCGCGTGCCAATCCTAGAAACTTCGCACGCAGACACTGGCGCTAGGGATTCGCATCCGCGTGGCCACCGGCCGCGCTTGATGTTGGCCGTTCTAGTGAGAGGGATGCCTGGACTCCTAGTCGACTTGACCACCGAGCCTATCCTGCATTCGAGAAACAGACCTCATGGTCTTGAGGTGCATCGACGCATGCGCCAAGGCGTCCTGCTCTCAGCAGAGCATCAAAGAGCCTGCGTCAGCCAACTAGCTGTAGCCCTTGCCCGGATACCCGTGCATGCCCCATACATTCCCGGAAGGATGCTGGAATACATACTTCGAACCGAAAACCCTCTTTGACACCATGCAGCAGTTCTCGCCCTCGCACTTTCGTGGTTGAAGGTCTGCAAACCCCATACGGTGACAACATACCAAGCCCTTGTAAATCCCCGTCTTGGCCCGTGATTCTCCATAAGCCCACAGGACCTTGCATGCGTCGCTTCATGGCAAAACCTTATTTGAGCAGAACATAGAGGAGCCCAACCGACCTCTCAGGCGGCAATGGCGACGTGGGGCACGACTTCTTCGGACAATGCCTTTGTACAGGCAGCCGGCGATTACGTAGTGCTTAAGTTTCGTCCCCTTTGGCTGGTTGCCTGACTGCACGGGAGGGAACGTCCTGAGCTTGCGAATGAGAGGCTGACTTTTTGCGTCGGTCTAGTGGCGGCGCGCGAGCTTGCATTAAGATTATTATAAGCGTGTGTGAATAGACGAGTGAATGGAGTGAACGAAGAACGAAGCCTCAGGAACCAGCCGAAGCGTGTGGATTTGCGGTTAGCCCCAGAATGATAGGGTCTCAAGGGCGGATTCATGGGCAGAACATGGCAGAACAGCAGATAATAGGGGAAAACAGGGTCTCAAGGTGTGACAGGGAGAGAATGAGTCTTGGAGATGGAGATAGCACCCTGAGAATGAGGTAAATTTTGCTCTCTTGTTCATTCTCTTCTCTCTTCACGCTTACAATTTTATTATAATGGTAAGTGAAGCGCACGCATTATAATAATGTTGTACGCAGTGAATGAAGAGAATGAAAGAACGAATTAAAAGCCCCAAAAGATAGGCAAAATAGGGGCTTTTATTCGTTCACACAATTTACTTCGTTCTCTTCACTCCTAAGCCCTTATATTTTATATTATTATTACGGCGCGCATTCTTTGCCCGTAATAATACTATAAAATAGGGCTTTTAATGAGTGAGAACGAAGCCCACAAAACCAACCAGGATGTGACGTTCTTCATGATGAATCTCTAGACCAAGTGCGTGAACTGTGCGAGAAAGGGGTGATTCAGAGAGCGGTTAACCTGGCATGCGAAAGCCGTGTCATGAAGGTATAACGCATGAACTGGCGGCTAGCGAGTAGCTAACGATATGGCAACTAGGGTCGGTGACAGGATGGTGAAATAGCCTGATGCTTGACTATCAGACGAAGGAGCCGATAAAGAAAATTCACGTCAACTGAGTGAAAGTGCCCGTCCCCGTTGCTTTAGCTTGCTTCGCGCGCAAGATACGAGGCATGGCAAGGGTACCTACCTTCGGCTACAGCACCGAAAATCCGCGCAACTCAGAAATCAGGATTCCAAAATCGACTCCGGGCTTTCAATCCCTGCAGACGCCTTTGGATTCACAACAAATTTTGCTGCGACACATGCTACACTCCGCGCAGCCTGGAACCCAACGCCCTCACCACGAACGCTGTGCTGATCGCCCTGGCCACGGGTGGCCGCTGGCAGGAAGCGCGGCTCCCAGCTGCCTTTGCTTAGGGCCTAGGGTTTAGGGTGTAGAGTTTAAGTTGGCATGAGTGGGACCAGCTGCCTGTCTAATATGACCTGCAGCCGCGACAGTGACCTCCAGAAGCCTTGCCTTCCATGAGTGGGAGTGAGCGAGCTAGTCTGAGAGTCGAAAGGACCTTGAAAGAAAAGCCAACTACCCTAGCCCAAGGTTGGGCAGGGGCTCGGACCTTTTTGGGAAAGTTGGGGTTGCGCTGCATTCAGCCAGTGGCTTGTTCGACTGTGATTCTGGGCCATAGGGGACCTTGCTTGGCATGTCAGCTGTGAGGTGAGACCGAAACCCTTCAACCCTAGTTGCCGAAGGGGGCTGAGACAACAACCCCTTGTCTTACACATCGGCATCGTGCACTTATCAGAGAATTCTACGGTCAACATAACGGCTGGTCTGCGCATGCAGTTCAAGCGTCTCAGACCTGCAGCATGATTAAAGTGAGCATCAATATTGGCTGTCGTACTTGTGCGCCTGAGTACCGTGACTTGCTTCTAAGGCCTTGCACCTGTTTGATGAGAGCAGGGTGGTGCTGGACCTGTGGGGCGACGAGTTGAGCATGTCGTGAAGTGTCGACGGTGCTGCTTTGGTTTCGGATGTTGTACCTGTCTCTCCGATCCCTCCATGTCCAGTTCAGCATTCTATTCGCATTCGGAGCTCCTGGCATGATCTCTACAAGACCCCGGATGATGGAAGTCATGTGAACCATTGGGCGCGTACTTACCAGTTTGCGGCTGGCTCATGCTGCCGCTGCTCATGTCAGGATGGCGGAGCCGCTCCCTTTGCGGTCGCTGCCTATGGTCCGCGGGGCTGCCTGACAATCCTGTGTAGCACTCCAAAGCTCCGTCTGAACGAGAAGTTGAGATTCCACAGGGGCTGCCTTCGCCGCATTGGCTGCTGGTGCCCTGTGGAGGCGCGACAACCGTTGTTCTTCCTCTCATTCTTCATCTCCCATGCTCGCGCTTTTCCGTGACCTGCGACAGACAATCCAGCGTGCCCCCGGGCGAGCTATGTCCTTGAGCTTTTGCGGACAGAAGTGCAAAACTCCGCCAGCATATCCAAAGGTTTATAATTCCAATAGCAGCCGCTGCATACTGTTGTCGTTCCACAGTGTCCACGGTCAGGCCTGCCTTGAATCTCCTCGAGTCGTCAACCTAGCATGCTTGATATTGTGAGATAGTGCAAATTGTTCGTTGACAGCATAGCATATCAATGGAAGGCGCCTCACATACAGTATTCCTGTGAGTTGAAGATCAGCGATGCCGCTATGCTGTATGATGTATGTTAGACATGGGTCGCGCTTATGTGCTTTCGACTCCCAAACCCCACATGCCAGGATGCCTCACCGAAGTCTTGCACGCTCGGTGCAGGTGCCCCCGAGGGCATTTCAAGGTATTGGGGACCGCGGTTGGGATGTTGGTGCGATTGTCAGGCAGAACGTGAGGGTGTTGGAACAAACCTCGCAAGATGCTGAACTCTGGATGGTCCACAACAGTCACAACACGCGGACTGAGACGCACCTGCCACTTCCTGAACCCACGAGCTGCTCCACCCTCATCCTAGATGGCGATTGCAAACCAGTGGGAACCCCAGCCGAGCCTGATGATCAGAGGTTTGGCATTCAGCGCAGACTGCAGCACAGCCGCAAACAATGGGTTTCTAGTCGGCCTAGGCCTTGCAAGACTGGGGAGTTGTGGCTCTAAGCGTCTTGAGGTTCCAATGCAGTGATCCATCATACCTTGCGCTGGGATCCTGCCATACTGTTTCTAAAGACTTTGGACACCTACTCTCCCAGAACATGCTGCATGGTAGCACAGAGAACGTCCAAGAAAGCCTGACGAAAACTTGTATGTGCTTGGATGCGTGGAGGTGTGCGGCACGGGTGAGTGGAGGAATCATCTCGAATCCACTCCAACTCTGTGTTGACGCAAGAGTCCTGACATTGCTCATATATGCACAGAACGTTTGTCAACCGGGAATGGCTTGTCTGAGTCGCGCCAGTGTCCTTCAACCAGTGAGACCCTGTGACCCCACGTAACCCTACTTCTCCCTTTGCTAAGCCCGTGGAAAATTTTGAAACTAAGAATCAAGGCCTGCTCCTACAGCGGCCACTGGCAGCAGGCCTTTCAGGGGCTCGAATGCATAGGTACAGTGCTTGGATTCGACCATCTGACATCTGCCAAGTGTCCTGGAGGGTCGGCTCCAGCATTGGTCTCGGATGTTGGGGACTGGGGAAAGAACCTGAGCAGGTGCTTCAGCTCTTGTGTGACGCATCGCCGGAGGCCCTTAGGCTGCAGTTGTTGGAGCTCATGGGCGGCTTTCCGACGCTCCGTCTGGCACAGCATGGCATCCGCTGTCGTTCCAAGGTGCCTCTGGACCTCACGAACTACTTGACAGCTTTGGCTGCAGCGGAGAGAGGCCTCCCGGCCCCCCGGTTGCCCCTCGTTTGGTTTTTGCTGTGCTACGTCGCTGCTACGTTCCTCCTCAAGCCTTGTGCTTGCCGGGCTCCCGGAGGTGGCTGTGCCCATCGCCTTTTGCCGCTGCTGCTGCCGCTGGCACGCCAGGACCCAGAAGGGAAGAAGAGTCCACGCAGTGACCATCCTCCGCAGCCGAAAAGTCACTGAACCGCCCCTCCCCTTGCTAGAGGCTTCAGGACACCGAGCCTAAGCTTCATGCTTCCGAGGTCCCCGAATCCCAAAACACATGGGCATTTCCTCCAGCTTAGACCAGGCTTTTCAGCCCATATCAGATGCAAAAAAGAGCTTGCATGAAGCTTCTAAGAGGTAGACGTAGCAGAAGTACGAGAAGCATCTGCAACCGAGGCCGCGCCTATGCTCTTCTTCTCGGACGAGCAGGTTCGCTCAGCCAAGCTTGGAGTATTGTGCGAGCAGTTCTTGCAGTGGCCCAAGTAAGCCCAGATTTGGGATGTTCCCCCTTATACTAGCAGTCCTTAATGGGGATCATATAGTACCCGCCTGCCAGGGGAGCAGCCCAGGGATGAGGAGCTGCCCGGCTTGAGTTCGGGTGTGGGTGGGCCTTTGCTCGCTATTGGATATCTTTTTTTTCCTGGTGTGCTTTTTTGTTTGACCTCTCCCCCTTCCGTTTTTCTGCATGTTCGTGCCGTACGTCTTGTGTGATCTGAATACGGTTTGACTGTAAAGAGGGGCTGCTAACCCTCAAAACAGAATGAGGCCAAGAAGCCCTGCAGATGGTTTCTTGCGCACTCCCTGTACCCGTTCACTGTACATGGGATGTGGGCAAACACAAACACAATCACAAACACACGCACACGCACACGCACGCACTCACACACACACTTTAGACTCGACTTCTGTCGAACTGCAAGCTCCAAATTCTTCTAAAGGTCTGGCAAGCTTCTGGATCTGCAATGGAAATCTGTACTTATTTTGAAATGGCCAAGGATGCAGCAACAGCTTTGAGGGTAGTTTTGGGATGGCCTGCAGGTACACAGTTCAGCGTCCTGAACTGTTTCCCACTCCAAGGCATAGCTTCGTTGCACTTGGTTTGCCAAGGAGTGCCCAATGCCCCTGCGAACTTCACTGCAGAAAGTTAAGTGCAAAACAGATGCCCTTTGGTACAGGGCTTGACACACACACCCCTCCTTGCGTTGGAGGGGAGTTTTCGGGTTTTTGTTAGGGGCATAAGAAAGTCGACTGAGAGGGAAACCTCAACCTGGGGACAGTAGAGCCTCGGAATTACGTGGACTGCTTACAACGCTCGCACTCAAGACGCTGACGAGGAAACCTCAACTTGGGGACACTAGAGCCTCGGAATTACGGGACTGCCTACACTGAGCAAGCGAAAGAGCAGTCCACTGCCCATTGAGTCGTCTGAGATTTCCTTAGTGCGGCTGCCGGGATCGTCTTTCCGACCTTCATCGGCCTCAGCTGGTTCCCGTCTTCCGGATCATGTGAGAACTATGTGAGAATTCCTTCGTGTGAATGCCGGAATCATCATTCCGGCCTTGAGAGTCCTTAGTTGGTTCCTTGGTCCATCATTGGCTCCACCAGTTGTGGATATAGCAAGCACAACCCCTGCTGTATAAAGAACAGAGCCGACAAGGGGGAAACTTGAACCTGGGGACACTAGAGCCTCGGAATTACAGGGACTGCCTACTTCGTCCGAAGCGAAACAAGAACCAGACCGCAGGTACTGCATTGCACTCTTTGGGCGGACTCCTGGAGGATCCATGATCAGCGTCAAGCAATTTGCACTCTGTGGGTGGAGCCCTGGGGGATCCATGATAAAGTCAAGCAATCGTGGAGCTGATTATGTAAAGTCACGTGAACTGTCTGCAAGCAAACAGAACGAATGAGAAGCTGAATCAATTGTAGAGTCATTCGTAACAAACTTCTTTCAGGCCCTGACATCAAGCAAGACAATTCATGCGTTAGTTGAAAGACTCCTCCCGTCGCTTGAGAGTCAAGGAAGTCAAAAGCTTCGGCTAAGTCAATCGTGAAGTCAGACTTGTGAGAGCATCCTCCCACGTAGTTGGCGCCCAGAGGGATTGCCGAACTGACACACACTTTAGACTCGACTTCTGTCGAACTGCAAGCTCCAAATTCTTCTAAAGGTCTGACAAGCTTCTGGATCTGCAATGGAAATCTGTACTTATTTTGAAATGGCCAAGGATGCAGCAACAGCTTTGAGGGTAGTTTTGGGATGGCCTGCAGGTACACAGTTCAGCGTCCTGAACTGTTTCCCACTCCAAGGCATAGCTTCGTTGCACTGGGTTTGCCAAGGAGTGCCCAATGCCCCTGCGAACTTCACTGCAGAAAGTTAAGTGCAAAACAGATGCCCTTTGGTACAGGGCTTGACACACGCACACACTCACTCACTCACTCACTCACTCACTCACTCACTCACTCACTCGCGCCCCCGCACACACCCCCCTTGAGAAGGCAAAGAAGAGGAGTGGCTGAGGCACGTAACAAAGAGTGCACCACCACCACATTATTTTTGCAAAGCCTGCGGGGATGCATACATCTGTCTTCTGACACTTCGAAAGCTGCATCAAGGAGATGCTCAATAAATTGAAGCTGCGATAAATTGAAGCTGCGGCTTCTCAATGTAATGTGTACAAGTGTTACTTTTCCGTCCACTTCCGTCGACGGCTGTCCTGATTGTGCGGGCAGCCTGTGGCCGAGGACTTCAGGCAGGCAGCTTTCATAATCCCGACACATGTGTCTACATCAGCCACCAGATTCGTGGCGCTGTTTCATCGTGGCCTCTCCCCCTTTCACAGGGTGCTGTCTCACCTTGAGCGAACCCTAAATCCTTTAGCGACTGGATCCGAGGTTTCTGTTGCCGTCTCTTGGGACCCTGCGCCGCTTGGCACCAGCTCGTCCCCAGAAGCCCCCAAAAGAAGTTACAGTTGCAGGGGGACGTTTTGTTGAAGCAAGACGCTTGTAGGAGAATTGCCCGGGTCAAATAGTCACATAGATGTTCGATTGGGAGATATCGGGAGTCAAAGGTTCACAGCCTCAGGAGGCTCAAGGCTGGGAGGAAAGGCCACATGTCATACGACATCACCGACTCAACATTGTAATCAAGAAACAGCAAAGTTCTCCGGATTTGAACAAGCAGGCGCAGACTGCAAAGATCATGATAAGCCGGCAAAAGGAAGTGCGCAAGAAAATCAGAACCAAATGTTGCCTCTAGAACCGTCACATGATGACTCAGGAGCTCACTTGCAGCAACCTGACCTCCCCCGGAGGAGCGGCTCTGTTTGTGGACGCCAGGGGGGGCTCGAGTCACAAAACCCATCAAAACCCTGTCTCGTGTACAAATGGCCCGGCTTTGGGGGACTAATGTATTTATTTATCCGCCTCCGCGGCCCCTTGGCCGGGAGTGCAGCTTCGCGGTTGCTGGCGGTTTTGGTTCTTGAAGGCTTAAGTCTCCAATCGGCAGCGGCAGCGTTGACGCATCTTACTTTCTTCTTGATGAGACACAATCCCGAGCACGCATGCTACATGGTGGAGCAACACATGGCCTGGATATTCAGGGTGTCCTGACATTTCCAAGGCTTGACCTTACCAGCACAGCCACCCCCTAGGCCGAGGCCGGCTAGACTTGAGCCTCGTGTTTAGGGTTCAGGGTGCAGTTCTTTTGTTGTTGGGGGCGCGCTTAGCTTGAGGACATGGACCGGAACATGCTTTTGAGCGCTCACCTTTCTGAGTCACAAACTTGTTCGTTCATAGCGTGGTTCCCAGGAACTGCTTGGAGCGGCATCATCAATGTCACATGCGAAGGGTGACTTTGCGAGACTTCATGGGCTGTTCCTGCTTGTCGATGCTTTCACCAGGTTCTCAGGGCAGTTCTCGGCAGAGCATCCCACAGCCTTCAAAGCCTGGGATGGGAGATTTGTTGAGACTTATAGTTCAGCGCTGCATAGCTGCACCTGCTGCTCCGGCGCCTTGAGGTTCAGAAGAGCCTTAGCTTGTTCAAGGAAGGTTCAGGCCAGCGGCCTTGGTCCTTTTCTGCGAATACCACATGCAAGAAGCATCTGGAAGTGCTCTGCTCTGAGTTGAAGCAGTCTACTCGTACCCACACTAGTACCACTACCATGAGCGTGTGACCACTGAACATGCCGACTCCTTCCTTTTGCTCTTGTAGGAACAACTGCGGCCACCAACGACCTTGTTGACAATATTGGGGATCTGTGCACGCTGGGCTCTTATTTTGCAGTGGTCAGGGCAATTTGCTATCGGGCAGGCTCTGCTCAAAGCCGAAGTTCACTTCGTTCCGGTTTTTCAAGGCAAGGGGGGTGGTCCTCTCCGCGAGGCTAGGGATCTCCGGAGAGTCCCGAGGCTTTAGGATGCCAAGAAGAAGGGGTGGGTCGGGTGCCTAGGGGGATCCGAGGTGGGGCATGGGCATGCTGACGTGTGAAAAGAAGCAAACTCATGATGTTCAGCACGTGCAGATTTGGTCCCAGCGCCCTCAAGCTCAAGCAATAAGCACTTTCTACCAGCTGCTGTTAAGACGTGTCGGTACGCTGGATTGCGGCCATCTTCTCGAAAGCTGAGGTCGGACATGCTTCTACGGCTCTGGCTTTGCAATCGCCATGGAAGAGCATGTCGAAAAGAGGTTTTGAGCGAAGGCATGGCCATACTTTCTGGCTGTCTGATACCACCACAGGCCGCATGTCGTTTTGTCATACGATCAGAACAAGGACCGGGCGGCATTTATTGCAATCGTGCAACAGCACTTCTGCAAAACTGGGCCCTTCGGCAGCAGATGCTTTGGTATTTGTCGCTTAAAAATGTTGGAGAGGTTGTTCTCAACAAAGCGTATTTAAGATTGAGACGGTTTCTAATGGATTATGGATTCATGGGAATCTTTGTCTTAATGGCTGGGCCTTTCTCTCCAATTAGATTTTCGAATTCATTTATGTATTAAGCTTGGGGCATTTCGGTAAAAACTCATGAAAATTGAATAGATCTCCCACGTCGTCTTGCGGGGCGTCGAGCAATCCTGTCGGGCTGCGGCTATAGGTTGCTTGTTTTGAATTCATTGTGGCGTTGACTTCGCTGCAATCCCAATTTTGGGCCAAACATTGGGAAGAGAATGGCATGGCATAGCTTGACACCGCGGTTTCAATTTCCTGTTGAAATCTAGTGCTGGAGATGGGGGTTTCGTTAAGGGCCATTGCTGTATTATTGACCTTTTAGTTTTGCCTGATGAATGGAAGCATTGGGTTGTATGCCGCTCTAATTTGAAGCCAGCTGCGGGCCAAGTTAAAACAATGGATCTTGCAAGAGCTATCTCTTGGTCAATACATTCGATTAAATTGATTATAAATTCGATTTCTTGTACTTCTATATACGTGGCTGAAGCGGAATATGAGAAATTGGAGTTCAAGAATGCACCCCTCATTCTTGAAGAGGCATCATTATAGAGGGAGGTCATTTTATAGATATTTCAAGGTGTTCTTATTGGGAATGTATCGTTTTTTCGATTATTAATTGGGCCGACTCTGAATATTGATATTCAAGTATTGAAGATTAATTTATGATATTATATTTTTTTGTTCTTATTTGCTCTTACTTTCGTTCTATCTAAAAATTATGGGGATTTCATTAAGGACCACATTAATTTTGCTTGATGAATGGAAGTATCGGATTGTATATCATTCTAATTTGAAGCTAGTTACGGGCCAAATTAAAAAAAATGAATTAATTCGGCATTCGGTCGAAAAGAAAAATCTCATTCATTGATTTCTATTCTCGCTATTCATGATCAATATTCATAAAATTCGCATCCTAGATCTCCATATTCCCCCAATGAAAATACCCGCCACCATCCCGAATTACGCAAGGGGAAAAGGAATTTGGAACGTTGCAGAAGATTTTTATCTTGATATTTGAAGGAATAAGATTAATTTATCGTTTCATTCGAGGGATATAATTCATGTTCTGAGAGTATAAAATTTTCCATGGATACTCGTAGAAAGTATAAACCATCTAAAATAACATATTTTTAATTCTAAGAATGATATCTTCAATGAATTGTCTGAGTCGTGGTCTAACCAATTTCATCGGTTAAATAATTTTCGGGATGGAATGATTTTTCTCTCTCTACTTGAAATATTCTTCTTTCATGGGTTCGTATTTGATTTATCTAGATTTTATAGGAATTTTCAATATTACGTTAAATATATGGTGTCATATAATTCATGGGTTTTTGAATCATTATTATAGGAATTAATTGGG